GTGGACTTTTCTAACCCCTCTAGTCCGTAGGAACCCTTACCTGCGGATTTCAGGTATCTGTATCATTGCCAATCATGGCCTATTTACAGTGGAATATACGCGGCCTCAGGGGTAATCGGGGTGAGCTTCAGATGTTACTCTCCCAGTTTTCCCCTGTTGGTGTTTGCTTACAGGAACCAACATTATACTCTGCTGTTATCTCTCCCATCTCAGGCTTTAATTTATTGTATTCTTCAGATCCTTTTCCTGATGGGACCTTTAATGAAAGTGCCCTTCTTCTACGCACTGATATTCCGTACCATCAGCTATTTGTTCGTACTTCGCTGCATTACACAGCAGCCCGTATCCACTTGCATAGATGGTATACGCTCTGTTCTTTATATCTCTCTCCTTCTCGGGCATTATCTATTCCGGATATTGCCTTTCTTGTTTCGTCATTACTGCCACCAATCCTGTTACTTGGCAATTTTAATGCCCACCATTTCCTCTGGGGGGGGGGCTCACTGTGATTCCCGTGGCATTCAGTTAGTGGCTTTTCTTGCCACCCACCCCCTCCATGATTTAAATACAGGGTACTCACACCCATTTTGATCCTCGGACTCACACTCTCTCTTGCATTGATCTCTCAGTCTGCTCTTCCTCCGCTGCATTAGACTTCGCTTGGTCTGTTCTCCCGGACTTACATGACAGCGATCATTTCCCAATCATTCTTACTTCCCTTCATATTCACCACCTCTTACACCCCACGCTGGAATTTTTGATCAGGAAAATTGGGAAACCTTTACTCACACCTAACTTTTTTTAGAGGGTTCCTTCTTGTCCTCCATCGATGAGCTTTAACACCTCTTTCGCCCTCTGTTTTAACCCGCAGTTTTAATTTTTATCCCAAAAATTCGGGCGGGCATTTCAGAAATGCATGCCTTGGTGGTCTCCTGCTTGTGCTCTGCAGTGTTTGAAACTCGCTGCATGGGGCGGGTACCGGTAAAATAAAACCCAGAGAGATTCTTGATTTTAAGCAGAAGCGGGGATCGCTCCCCGTGTCATCCGTGATGCTAAAGAGCTTGCTGGCGAGATTATGTCTCCACCTCCCTCTGTTCCTCATGAGTGCATTTGGAAAAAAAAGTGGGAAAAGGGTGGTAAATATTCTTGACCGGTCCTGTTTGGGGGTTGCCGGTTTTGTATAGCAAAACCCACTAGTGTTGCAATGAAATTGGAAATATTGGTCGTATTTCTCGGGACTCCATTTCCCCCTCTTTTCTTTCCTCAAATCTGCCAGAGAGTTGACCCTTGGATTTTTTCTTCTTCAGGAAAAAACAGTATAATGTCCCCTTTTACACTTCAAGAACTGGAGGCAAACTCTGCTTGCCGATTGGGCGCGGGGCCCCGACGATTTCATATTGTATGCTACAACATTTACATCAGCAGCCCTTGCAGTCCTTTTACCCCTTTACAATCTTATTTGGTCACAAGGAGTTGTACCACAGCTGTGGGAATCTGCCATTGTTCTCCCTTTCCCCAAACCCGGCATGGGGAAAGAAACCTCCCATTACTTTTTCCCCTTTCACTTACCCGGCAGTTTGCAAAATGATGGGAAAGCCTGTAAATGAGTTTAGTTGGATTTAGGAAAAACCGTCTCCCACTCGCAAATGCTTTGAAGGGATGTTCTACCATAGACCCCTTACTACGCTTGGATACGTATGTTCGTAATGCCTTTCGAATAACCACCAGTTATTGCCATATTTTTTTTCCTTGAAAAGGATATGACCAATTGGGGTATAATATTTTTAGCCAAACCCCCTCCTTAGGCCTTCGGCTCTACCATCCTTCCTTAGAACTTTTTAACTGACAGGCATTTCCCTGTTGGGTTAAAAAATGTGCTTCCCCGGACTTTTCCAAATGAAAAGGGGTCCCCGGGATGTGTTCTGAGCACAACATTTTTCTCCCTTTGGGATTTAAAGATTTTTGGGCCCCTTTGTCTTCCCTCAAATATTTGGTCATACTTATGTTGATGACTTGCTTTGCTTGCGGCGCTGACTGTCACCTCATTACGTTTTTTCCGCATGCAGTCGACGTGTTTCCAATTGGGCCACCACACAGGGTTTAAATTTTCCAGCACTAAAACCACCGAATTATTTCACTAGACGCCTCTTCGTCTCCCTCATCCCCTTTTACCCCTAGGTCCCCCTACCCCGAAAAGTGTCAGTCAAATTTCTGGGCCTCCTCTTTGACCGTAGGTTTTCTGGAAACCTCACATTACCTCTCTGAAGGCAATTGTCACGCCGGCTGAACCCTTTTTAAAACCCTTGCTATCTTTCATGGGAGGGTCTTGAACCCCCTTCGCCCACATCCCCCTATTTTATTGAAAAAATTGATTATGGTGACCAGATCTATTCAGCGGCATCTCCTGTACCTCTCTAGCCTTAACCCATTCATCACCAAGGTTTAGTTTATGCCTTGGGGCTTTTTGCTTTCCCCTGTCGAGAGCCTGTATGCAGAAAAGGGAAAGTTCCTCCTTTTTCCGATTGCCCTGATGCCCATTGCCCTTTGTACTTGTATGCTCTCTGATCTCTGCAATCCCTTCCCTTTATGAATGGTCCTGATTTATGACATTTTATTTGTTTGCCGCCCCTGTTTTCTCCGTCGTTCTTCTTCGCCCTTATTCCTCTTGTTTCTCTTCAATTACCACCCTTTTTAGTCATGTAGAACCACTTTTCCCTACCCCCCTGGGAAGTTCCGCTGTTCGAGTTGTTTTTTCTCCTCCCTTGCTCGAAAGCCCAACTATCTCGGTCGTTCCCCCTCTCTTTTTCTTGACCACTTTCATCTCTTCCTGCCTTGCTGTGTACACAGATGGCCTAAGTTTCTGACGGTGTGGTTCGCGCAGTGTTTCCGGCAAACGTGTACTGGGCATTTACTACTTGGCTAGTTTTTTACTGCTGAATTGTATGCCATCCTTACAGCACTTATCCGTATTGCATCTATGCCTGTGTCATCATTTGTGGTTGTCTCAGACTCCCTTAGTGCTTTACAGGCTATACAGAAATTTGATACACCTCACCCCTTAGTCCTCCGTATCCAACTTTGGCTACGCCGCATCTTTACCAAGCATAAAGATATTGTTTTTTGTTGGGTCCCTGGTCATGTTGACGTACAAGACAGTGAACAGGCAGACACTGCTGCGCGGTCAGCAGTACATGACCTACCAGTTTCATATAGAGGTATTCCATTTATGGACTATTTTGCTGCAATATCTTCCCACCTTCACACCTGTTGGCAACAACGTTGGTCTACTATGCTCGGCAACAAACTTCAATCTATTAAACCGAGTATAGGTTACTGGCCGTCTTCTTATCACCAGTGTCGAGGTTGGGAGACTACTCTCTCCCGTCTTCGCATTGGCCATACTCGTCTTACTCATGGATATCTCATGGAGAGGCGCCCTGCTCCTCTCTGTGAGAATTGCCAAGCTCCATTATCAGTCAGCCACATTTTGTTGGACTGCCCACTTTATCAACGAGCACGCAGAATTTACCTCCGTCGTAGTCTTCGCTCCGCTGCTCTCTCTTTACCTTCCCTTCTCGCTGATGTACCCACCTTTCATCCGGACTCTCTCATTGACTTTTTGACAACAACTGACTTACTTCACAAATTCTGCTACCTTCAGCCCTTTCTACTTCAATCTCTTGCTACCCCCTACCCCCGTACTATCCCCTGCCACGCTGTTTTCTGTAACCTACTGATCATCCCTCCTCCGTTCTACCATCCAATACCCTCGCTTCCTTCCCTACCCTGTAGTGCTGTATAGCCCTTGTGGCTTAGTGCTTCTTTTTGATTATAATAATAATAATATGATATCGTGAACTGATCAAGCCCACTGTGTGAGTGAAATGTTATCATTATTGGCTCATATTAAACTGTAAGTGCTAGATTAACCAGGCAGTGATGGCTGTGTACGCTCTTGGGTCACTAACATCAACAACCTTGTTGACCAGACAGTCAATAAGGATGCCTGGTCTCAGGCAAGGCTTGGAGGAAAGAACCCTTGAAACTGGCCATAGGTATGATGATTTACATTAATGGAGTTGAGTGGGAGGCTGAGCATACAATTGTGTGTTCATTCTTAAGCCATGGCACTTCTTAAAATTCTGCAAGTGTTGTTATATTCCAAGATATCCTATTAAGGAAACCAGAGTAGGTTTATATTTCCAAGTAAAATTTTAGATTTTTTTTTTAACACTTCGGCCATCTCCCACCGAGGCGGGGTGACCTAAAAGAGAAACAGTTTCACCATCATTCACACATAATCACTGTCTTTGTAGAGGAGCCCAGATACGACAGTTTAGATGTCCCTCCAAAACAGCCAATATCCCAAACTCCTCCTTTAAAGTGCAGGCATTGTACTTCCCATCTCCTGGACTCAAGCCCAGCTAACTGGACTATTAACCCCTTTTCCTGTATAGCTTACTAAAAATAAAAATAAATTTTTAGAAATATGTGATGTAAATGGTGTAATGTGGCAACTCTCTACACGTTAAGGGTGACCCTGGTATGAGTGTACAGTTGCTCCTACCCAACAAACATTTTTCGTGTTTTAATACATATTCATAAACACCATTTAGATAATAGTTCTCATAACAGAGTAGCTATAAAGAATACTGCATTAACTCTGCCTGCAAGAGTTGGTTATTTTATACTGTATGTAATGAGATTGATTTCAGTTACATTTTCTTAAAAGTGAAAATGTGCAAACACAAGGTATCGTTCATTTGACTGGAAAACCAAAAAGAGTGAGTGTGAGTACTTTGCTAAAGTGTTAAATACAAATATTATCTTATATTTTAGTGTCAAGCTTATATAAAGATGAATCAACTAATGATATTCTTAATTACTATTGTTATTGTAAAATATTAAAATTATTTTTTTTTTTATTTCAGTATAGTATAAATATGCTTTTCATAGCAAAAATCACAGTAATATTTATAATTACTCTCTTATCACTGCAGCCATGAAGGACGTGTTGGTGAGCTCGAGATAGAGAAATTTAATCTGGTGGAAGAGGTGGTAAGTCTACAGGATCAGCTGTCACTGCTCAAGACTGAGATGGTTGAAATGGCCAGAAAGGCCAAGGCAGTTGAGGCAGATGCAGAAGCTACCAGTATTCTGCGGGCAAAAGTCAATCTCCTGGAAACAGAGAAGCGGAGACTTGAGAATAAAATCGTTGATTTGCGGGTTCAAGTTGCATCAACAGAAATTAGCAATAATGATTCAGGTACTGTGCATGTGCAAGCATACCCTTCAAGGGGTATCATTGCCTTAAAGTCAGTGAAGGGCTCTCCTTCCTATCCTTGGATTGAACCCTATTTCCATTGTCCAGGGGCTGTATGACCCATATGGGTTTAGCACTTCCCCAGAAATATATTTTGCACACATAATTATTACATTGTCAATCTGTAAATGCACTGAAGGTTTTATATTCAACACAGCATTAAAACTTGTGTACATTTGCCTTTTGACCAGTTAGTGAATATTTTTGTAGTTAATTACGTATTTTCTCCTCTGCATCAGTGTCCTGGTACCCATCTTTAACCTTTACTGCATCAGTGCCCTGGTACCAATCTTAAACCTTCACTGCATCAGTTCCAGGGTACTCGTATTAAACTTTTACTGTACCAATGCCCTGGGGACTCGTATTAAACCTTTACTTCACCAATGCCTGGGCACTCATATTAAGCCTTTACTGCATCAATGCCCAGGCACTCATATTAAGATTCTTGTCCACTTCCCCAGGGAGATGAAAGGAAATTAATATTATGACTTTAGTTTATTTTGAACAGTGTTGTTTCACAATGGTAGTTTAGCGCTTCTTTTTGATTATAATAATCATAATATGTTTCACAATTCCAGATCCTCGAGGACGTAAAGTGTCAGTGTAAGATAATTTTGTATTTTAATAATTTCTGGATGTATTTTTTTTACTTTGCAGACAGCTTTTTAAAACAAATGAAGGATGAGAGGGATCAGTTTGAGGGCCAAGTTCATTTCCTGAACTCTGTCATTGTTGATATGCAGAGAAAAAATGATGAACTTAAGACACGCATTGAGATATTTGAGCTTGGAAATGTATCGGATGACACCAAGGCAAATATGTAAGTATTGTATACATTTTGCACTTTGGAGATGAACCTTTAGGAAGTGAGTTAGTTAATCTTAGACCATTATCAAGTAGCAGTTGTGCCTTGAAAATAGTTCAGGACACCCTTAAATTTCTTCTCTCCAAAACATGAGTTACAGTATTTGTGAATTGTTTCAGCCATGGTAATGTTACCTTTATTTTTTATTATACATTATCATTCTCCTTTCAATTTATTCCATTTCAGTGCATGAAAAACTTTTAAAATTACCTTATATCTTGGGAACTTTTTATCCAGTATATTAGAAAGTTCTGAGATAAAGAAATTTCAGTGATTCCTTCAAAGTTGAGCTGAAATAAGAACCTTAAGTAGAAACTTCATATTATTTCCCTTCAAGTGAAGGGGATGCCTTGATGCTGGTAAAGAGCTCTTAATCAAAGAACATGTAATCCCGTTCCTTGGACAAAAGCTAATTACCTCTCATTTCCCAGGTGTTGTATAATCAATATAGATTTAGTGATTTCACACTATTTCACCGTTGGTCCCGTATTGCAAGCCAGTGTCGGTCCCATAATACTACGCCAAAATTCTAGCTTCTTCCAGTGTTGTGGTCAGTGTGCACAGTATAAAAAAAATCCTGCAGCATGCAGTGCATAACAAGAAAGAAAAAACTCGGTGGTTTTTGGTTTGAAACAGCGGCTTGCGGTGTATTTTCATATGGTTGTATTCTCGTTTTCTTGGTCTTATTTGATAGAATGGAAGATATATTACAGAAATAGAGATGATTTTGAATGGTTTACAAAATAAAAGTACCTTGAAATTGAGCTCGAAGTAGCGGAAATGTTCGATTTTTACCTATGTTCAAGAGTACACAAATAACCTGCACATAAAAGAGAGAAGCTTATGACGACGTTTCGGTCCGACTTGGACCATTTACAAAGTCACACTAACCAGAAGTGGAGCAGGACGGCTATGGAAGAGGTGGTGGTAGTAGTAGTACAAGAATGGTATATAATACCGACAAGATGAAATTAAGACACATGCGCAACACCCGGGCATCTCTGTCGTAGACGTTTCGCCATCCAGCCAGCCACTGGATGACAAAACGTCCACAACAAAGACACCCAGATGCCGCACATGTGTCTCAATTTCATCAGTAGTAGAAGAGGTAGTAGTAGTCGTAGAAGTGGGGAATAAGGAGGACGAGCGAGTCAAATACAAAGGAAGGAGAGCACTGCAAGGGAGCTAGGTGCCCACAGAGGTGCATGAAAGGGGAAGTGGTGAAATAAATGAAGAAGGAACAGAAAGACGAGACAGAAGAGAGAAAGACAACCCAGAGGAGAAAAAGGAAAGAGGAAAGGGGAAGAGGGAGAAGAAGAAAAAGAAAAAGAAAAAATGAGGAGTCAGGTTAAGTCACGGGTGTTCTGAAGCTTGGAGCATTTTACAATGTAGTGGGAGAGGAAGGCATCTACAGAGACGAAGCCAGGGCTAAGATTCATACAAGGAAAGTTGTGTATTAGAGAGGATTCAACTAGACGGCGACTGTTTGAGTTGGAAGTAGGGAAGACAGTTTTAGCAGAAGACCAGTCAATAGGATGGCTATGATCTCTGACGTGACAGAAAAGAGCATTGTTAGTGTCGGCAAGCCTAACACTATTTTTGTGCTCCCTAAGTCTGTCAGAAAGAGATCGACCAATTTCTCCGAAGTATTGAAGAGGACAGGAGGAGCAAGAAGTAGAGTAGCCACCAGGAACATCTGTAGAGGTATGAACGAGATTAGTGCGAAGAGTGTTAGTCTGGCGGAAGGTAAGCTTGATGTCTAAGGGACGGAGAGAATTGTTGAGATTAGAAAGACCGGAAATGTAGGGAAGGCAGAGGATAGAAGAGTTCCCAGGAGTAGAGAGAAGAAATTACGTTTAGCACGTGAGAGGGCAGGTCTATGAAATGGGAAGGGTAGCCAAGAGGGGAAAATGAATTATGAAGAGTGGAAATTTCTGCTGGAAGGAACTGAGGATCACAGATGCGGAGGACACGGAGAAAGAGGGAGATAAGAACACTTTTCTTGACAGGGGAAGCATGATAGGAAAAGTAGTGAATGTACATGCCACTGTGCATAGGTTTTCGGTAAACGGAAAAGGAAAACCCTGTATCTGAGCGGTGGACATGGACATCAAGGAAAGGAAGCAAGGAATTAGATTCCCATTCAGCTTTAAACTTAATGGAAGGGGCAAGATTATTAAGAGCTTCAAGAAAAGGTTGGAGTCATGAGGCCACAGAGCAAAGATGTCATCCACGGAGCCAGAGTGAAGGTTGCACATCGAGGGTAGGAAGAAGAACAGTCTCGAAGTATTCCATGTAAAGATTAGCAAGGACAGGAGAGAGAGGAGAGCCCATAGCGACACCGAAGGTTTGAGAATAATATTTCCCTTGGAAGGAAAAGGAATTAGAGTCCACACAGAGGTGGATAAGATCAAGAAAGACATCAGTAGGTATAGGGAGATGTAGAAACCCTTCGTGGGCCTTCTCTCTAAGGAAATCAAGGACATCATCAAGAGGGGCATTGGTGAAGAGGGACTCAACGTCAAGACTAAGCATCTTACAGGTTGGGAGAGAGCGAACCCGTTCAATGAAGTCTTGAGAGTGACGGAGGTGGGCAGGAGAAAAAGTACCAAGAAAGGGAGTGAGGGTTTTGGCCAGCCAAGAAGCAAGAGAATAAGAGACAGAACCTCTAGAGGATATGATAGGACGAAGAGGAATATCAGGTTTATGAGTTTTGGGAAGGCCATAGAAATAGGGAAGAGAGGGACAGATGACACGAAACCGTTGAAGAAGGTCAAAGTCAGGAGGACAGAGGTCAGAGAGAGTCCTTATAGTTTCTTGTTGAAAGTTCTCTTGATGCGATCAAGAGGGTTGGAAACGAGAGGAGTGTAGGTACGTGAGTCAGAGAGCAAGACATCAGCTTTACGGAGGTAATCCTCGCGATCAAGGATAACTACCGAATTACCTTTGTCAGAAGATAGTATGACAATGTTAGTGTTGGATTTAAGAGAAGACAGGGCAAGTTGGTAACGGCGTGGAAGGTGGTGATTCTTAGAAAACAGACTAACAAGAGCAGGAAGGAGAGTGCCACGAAAAGTGGACAAGTCAGGAAGATTACAGGAGCGAGATTGACGAAAGGAATCAAAAGAGCTAATCAGGGCAATACCAGCATGAGGAGTAGGCGAAGTGGCCGTTGTGGACGTTTTGCCATCCAGTGGCTGGCGAAACGTCTACGATAGAGATGCCCGGGTGTTGCGCATGTGTCTTAATTTCATCTTGTCGGTATTATATACCATTCTTGTACTACTACCACCACCTCTTCCTGCCTATATATAGCCGTCCTGCTCCACTTCTGGTTAATGGGTATTTGTAAATGGTCCAAGTCGGACCGAAACGTCGTTGTAAGCTTCTCTCTTTTATGTGCGGGTTATTTGTGTATTGTTCCAGTCACGGTATTGTGCCTTTTTTTGTTGTTCAAGAGTAAACAAATCACATCAACTGGTGGATCTGATATGCTTTCACAAATGCGCTGATATTATTTATACCATTTTTACAATAATGCTATAGTCTGTATAACAGTAAAGTGTCTGTTTTATGTGTGAATAAAAATTCAGAATGGTGAGCAAGCGTAATATAAGAGGGGCCTGGAGACCTGACTAATGAACAGAGAAAATTTTATTTTAGTGCTTGGAATGTTTGCATTGTCAATTGTGGACCCTATTTTGAAATTGGTCTTCCTTGAATTGTGTATGATATTAGCCAAATTACCAATTTCTGATAACTTTATTGGGTAGTTGAAATCGACATATGGGCGGTTTCTTGTATTCAGTTGATGGAACAAAAGGAGTTCTAGTGAAATAGCTATGAGTGGTCGACTGGAACAATGGAATTGGCCAATGTGTTCACAAGTACTAAAAGGCATTCACCCAAGAAAACCAAATTAAAAATTATAAAATATGAGGCTGATAAACTGGTTAATGGCCTTTAGTAATCATTTTACTTTTTTAACAGGAATGGAATCAGTCCACCTGGTCGTCATGTAGTAGCACCAAGAATGTACTGTGATATCTGTGATTGTTTTGATGCCCACGAAACAGAAGACTGCCCCAAACAAGCTTCCTCAGACTCACCTCCTCCATCTCGACACCATGGCCAGAGAGACTCGGTTAGACCTTACTGTGATACATGTGAAGGTATGTATGTACAGTATTTTTTTTTTTTTCAACAAACCAGCCATATCCCACCAAGGCAGGGTGACCTAAAAGGAAAAATGAGTTTTCCCTTTTAAATTTAGTAATTTATAGAGGAGGAGTTACTAAGCCCCTTTGCTACTGGCATTTTAGTCACCTCTTACAACACTCATGGTTTACAGAGGAAGAAGTCTTCTGTATTTTTTTTTTGTTAAAGTATTGCATCTGTAACCTAATTTATGCTGTGTGCACAAAACATATACAAAAAAATAATTGTATTTTAAAAAAAAAATATAGTTCTTTGTTACCTCCATAATTTGCAAAAATTATGGAGGTAACAAAGGATTGATGTGTCCTAAAATAGTATGAATGCTTCATATATTCATGAATCAGAAAGATCATCAAAGCAGTACATGAATAAAATTCAGGTATTAAGACATGTTTACACTTACACTGTAAAACGCATGTATCTGACCTTTCCTTGCCTGAGCAAGATGTATTGCATTGTAATCTTCAGCAGATATTCTCAGATTTCTTTGTGAAACAAGAAATGCATTTAAATAGTTATACATTGGAGAAATGCAGGAATAACAGTGAGGAAGAAAAATATGTCTTCCTGGGAGTTTAAATTTTTGAGATCACAATGCAAATTAGTCTTCTTCTTTCAATAAACTGGCCATCTTCCACTGAGGCAGGTGACCCAAAAAAGAAAAATACTTTCACCATCATTCACACATAAACACTGTCTTTGCAGAGGCACACAAATATGACAGTTTAGATGTCACTCCAAACAGCAAATATCCCAAACTCCTCCTTTAAAGTGCAGGCATTGTACTTCCCACCTCCAGGACTTGGTTCTGGCTAACCAATTTCCCTGAATATCTTCACAAAATATTACCCTGCTCACATTCCAACATCTCATCAGGTCCCAGAAACCATTCTTATTTAACACACACACACATGCCTGCTGTATGCCCAAGCCCCTTGTACATTAAACCTCCTTTTACCCCCTCCCTAATTATCAAGAAAAATAAAGTTTAGAGAGGTGTTATTAATTTTGGAATCACTTTACTGTAGTGAAAATTATGAAAACCTCTCGCAGTGAATTTATCACCTGGTTTATTCTTTGTTTCATTAAGAAATATTGATATAATACATTATTTCTGGGAGAAATGTAATTAATAATAATCTCTTCTCTGCCTCTATTTCAGTGTTTGGTCATGAAACAGGAGATTGTACTGATGAAACCTTCTAAATATGGCTGTGAATTTTAACATGGAGGCAACGTACTTGTCAAAGACACGCTTAAGGTTTACAAAAATTGTAAAGAAAATGGCTGATTTGAAAAAAAATTATTTTGGGATAACAGCATGCTAGAGAAATTTTCTTGTATGTGATAATCAAAAAGTTTGTAACAGAGTCGTCCACAGTTGTACTTTATTTTACTTGTTAAATATGATGATAGCAGGACTGTCAATAAGTTTTAAATATATCGGTTAATTGACTTTGCTGGAATGCAAGTAATATATGTAATAGCTGGATCCAAGTGGTGTGCTATTGATAATATTGAAGAAAAAACATCCGTTGTAGAAAAGGCATTTATTGGGACAATTTTTCATTTGTTAAAGCTTGTGACTTGATGAAGCTGTTCAGAAATTGTCCCAATAAAAGCTTTTTTTATTGCAACCAGTGTTTTCTTCATATGTTTACTAGTTGCGACATATAAAGCAATAATGTTTGCCTTAGAGTATTTAAGAAACTAGGAGCTTTCATGCATAAATAAACCATTGATAAAGTTATCTAGGAACACAAGCATGTATATTTCCCCTTGCAGAGTGCCTCTTAAATTGAGATTATTTTAACATTTAGTTATTCATGATAGTTCTCTCCCAATTCCCCCAAGCTGATACTCACTTTGTTAAATCTTGTTATTCACTCCAGACAATTTATACACATTTAGGTACTTTGGAAATTGGTGAGATTGTGGATGTGTAGACAAACTGTGAACTAGGGAACTATAATGATATTTCTATGAGCAGTACTGTACCTAATACCTAATTCTTTCCATGTGTCAAGTTATATGTATAGTAGTTCAACTTCCTTCACTGTTCTGAATTGTGTTTGGTAACTCTCCAGCTTCTACATTTGTTAATATGTTCCAGAGTTAAATATCCTTACTGGAGTAAATTGTTCTTGTCCTACAAACATCACTTTGTGTTTCTCAGTAAATAGTTTATTGTGTTAAGTGGGACTTTCTCTTTAAATTATTACAACTTTCTTGTAGCATAAATACTAGTGCATTGTTGATTTAGTCTATTCACTACAGTCCCTAAATGTTTGTAGTGAATAACCTATTTTGTATAGTCAGGGTCTCCACTCTAATTCTATACCTTCATCTCAGACCCCCCTGTCCCCTTGTGTAGTCATGGTCTATCTCATTGATTCTCTACCTTTAACTCATCCTCCCCTTATCTCCACTTTCATAAACTGTATATTCAAAGGACTGAGCTGCTTTCTCCCTTCAGTTCATTGAACAAAGATATTTATTAGTTGAATAACCATGAGTCTGTCTTATGTACCATGCTGTTATTTAGTTTATTATACATTGTGAAATTTGATGTTTATAATCTACAAATCTTGTCAATCAACTATGGTGGGGGGTTAGAACCTGTAATCAGAGAGTCTGAAAACTCCAGACCGACGCATTAGCCACTGGGTCAAGGTGTCAGTCTGGAGTTTTGAGAGACTGATTACAATTTTTAACCTCACCTGTGATATGGTTTGTTTACAATCTTGTTCAGGATCAGAGTAAGAACCTATAGCTGAAAAGTTTTGATGGATTTATAGTACACTAGAGTTCAAAATAATAATTTTTTTTATGAATTCATATTTAAATATTTTATGGGCTTGGTCTGGCACCTAGCCAGAGTAGGCTACTTTTGATATTAAACAAGATTTAAGTATTTATATACGTGATTATGTAATTAGAGTTTGATGAAAGTTAAGACGTGCAATATCTGGTTATCTTTATTGTAGACGTTTCGCCATCCAGTGGCTTTATCAATAGATTCGAGGACATAAATAGAAGACAGTAGAACTATATACAAAAGATGCAGTAATCAGTCCCTCAGCCTTGGAGTGGAGAGCACCGTGGTCGAAGATATTCTTTGACCACGGTGCTCTCCACTCCAAGGCTGAGGGACTGATTACCTCATCTTTTGTATATAGTTCTACTGTCTTCTATTTATGTCCTCGAATCTATTGATAAAGCCACTGGATGGCGAAACATCTACAATAAAGATAACCAGATGTTGTATATTTCTTAACTTTCATCTTGTCAGTATTGTATACCTTTCTTGCACATAATTAGTTTGTGCTACAGTACTTCAAAGGACATTTGTTTGTTTATTAACAGTATTGGAATAATAAATAATGTACAGTATATGGTGTATGAATATTTTTTTAAAGCAAAATAAAGTCTTGCTATGCAAGTTAGTGTTGTATTTATTTCATCCAACAACATGATTGAAATATACTCAAAATGAATTATTACAATCAAATAAGAGTGGTATAATGCCAAGTACCTATTTACTACTAGGTGAACATGGACAGCAAGTGTGTTAAGGAAATGCCTTGAGGTTTCCACCTGTACAAAGGATTGAACTAAAGACCTCAATGTGCGAGCCAAATGTGCTACCGAAGCTAGATGCCTCTTATAGGTTCACCTCTTCCTGTGATTAAAATGAACTTCCCTTATCTTAGTTATATTCATGCTTAGTCTTCAATATAAACATTTGGTCTATGCATCACCTACAATTGTCTGCAATCCAGTCTCAATAATTTTGATATAAGCTACACAGGTTTATTCTCTCTAGTACCCTTATTCCTCATAAGAAGGAACTATGCATGATCTCTACCAATTATTTGGTACCTTACCTTCTATCAGTCCACCCTGTACCCTCACCTGCTTTTATCATGTCTTCAATTCATCTATCCCAGCTGCTTTACTTCCTTTCATTCAACCCACTGCCTCATACACTTGACCCTACATCCATCTGAGGTCCTCACTCTTATTAAGATGTTATTCCTCCCTAGCCAGTGTATGAAATCAGTCACCTAAATATAATACAAGCTACTTCTGTCTTGCAATTGCTCAAACCTTAAAGAAAATGTCTGATTTACTACACAAACTTTGATGATGCCTCTAGCACTCCCCTCAATCTTTTGCTACCCACTGCACTCCATAACCTACTAATCATCCCAATACCCTTACATCCTTCCCTGCACTATATGATCCTTGTGTTCTAGCACTTCTTTTTGATTATAAATCAAACCTTATCCCAATGCATCATACAACAAAAGTGCACTTCAAATATTCTTGAATTTCCATTAGTATATTACTTCACTACTCCACAGCCATGTCCTTTATCTTGAAATAACATATAGGCTTTAATTACATCCCCACTCCCCTCAAGGAAGGTTCCTTGATGTTGGTGAGGGGCTCTTGATTTAGGGAATTGGATCTGTGCTCCAGTTCCCCGAATTAAGCCTGAATGCCTTCCACATCCCCCCCCGAGGCGCTGTATAATCCTCCGGGTTTAGCGCTTCCCCCTTGATTATAATAATAATAATACATCCCCACTGATTCCCCTCAAGGTTCCTTGACGCTGGTGAGGGGCTCTTACTCTAGGGAATTTTATGTGGTCTGGTTGCCTGAATACCTTCCATATCTACCCCACAGGCGCTGTATAATCCTATGGGTTTAGCGCTGACCTTGCATATGACATTTATATAGCTAGCTAGGCAGATAGATGTAATGATAATGAAAATTTTATGGAATGATCGGTAGACAGCTATAAATAGCTAGCTATCTACCGATCATTCCATAAATTTTTTTTATTACATAATCTGAATAGCTAACTAGCTGTTTACAGTTATCTACATTGCTAGCTATTTATATATTCATTAATATAACGACACACAAGGTCATCAAGTAAATTTGTACATAAAGAAATAAAATATAAAATTGAAACTTTTCATTTATTTACGATTTTCATCAACAAATAATAATAATTGAGCAACATTTATCAGTTAATACTAGAACATTTTCATACATCTAAATAAGAAAACAAAGATTTTTCAATAAAAAAATAATTGAAATGAAATAACAGGAAATTTCTGGTGTAATGGTGCAGCTTTGTCATGTTTAACAGTTTGACGCTTAGTTTTCATTATAATATAATAATAATAATAATTGTCATGTTTACCAGTCATTAATTATGATCACTAATGCACAAAACAGAAGCAGTAAGCAACAGCAGATCATAAGAGAAGGTGACTGTGTTGACTAACCATTATGACGTCAACAACAACCAATCAGCAGCCACCTTACAAGTCCTTCAGGCACTCATGCTGCTAGAGTACTTTACCCTGACTGTGATTGGCTATAATGCTGTATGTAAACAAAGAGTTTCTACCAATGAAATGAGAGTTTTTGAGTGACGTCACGTGGGAGTTGTTCAGCTTAACAACCTTCTCTTACGACTTGCTGTTGAGCATCTTATGACTTCTTGTTGATTATCTTAGTGACAAATTCTCTCACTAGATGACACTCCATAAAATATACACAAATTTAGGTAGATAGATAACTGGAGATATGCATTTATATAGACATATTTTTTTACAAGTAGAGTTATAAAAGGCTAGGTAGCAAGCAAGATAGATATTAGTTGATAACTGGATACATGTAGATACATATAGACATTATTATTATAATCAGAAAGAAGTGCTAAACCATGTAATAGACATAATTAACTACCTTGATAGATATAAAACAGGTGAAATAGACATGAATTAGTAAATACAAATTTAAAACTTATTTTCATAAAATGCTCACAAAAAAGTAATAATTAAACAACATTTATCAGTTAATACCAGATTTTTTTCATATATATTTTTAATGCATCTAAATAAGACAAATGAGATATTTCAATCTTCCATCTATATGAAAAAATATTTACTTAGTGAATTAACTGAAAGGTAATAAAAATATTTAATTTGTGTATTTTTATGGAGTGCCATCTAGTGAGAGAATTTGTCACTAAGATAATCAACAAGAAGTCATAAGATGATCAACAGCAAGTCATAAGAGAAGGTTGTTAAGCTGAACAACTCCCACGTGACGTCACTCAAAAACTCGCATTTCATTGGTAGAAACTCTGTTTACATCTAGAATTATAGCCAATCACAGAGAGGGTAAAGTGCTCTAGCAGCATGAGTATCTTGAGGGATTGTAAGGTGAATGCTGATTGGTTGTTCTTGACGTCATATTAGTTGGTCAACACAGTCACCTTCTCTTATGATCTGCTGTCCCCTCAAGGAAGGTTCCTTGATGTTGGTGAGGGGCTCTTGATTTAGGGAATTGGATCTATGCTCCAGTTCCCCGAATTAAGCCTGAATGCCTTCCAAATCCCCCCCCAGGTGCTGTATAATCCTCCGGGTTTAGCGCTTCCCCCTTGATTATAATAATAATGATCTGCTGTTGCTCACTACTACTGTTTTGTGATTTTTACTGACCAATTAGAGAAAATAATAATAAATATCTTTTTAATGTTTGTAATATACCTACATTAAAATATCTCTATTACTTTGATTATTTTCAAGATTATTGTTGGTTTATTAACAAAAAAGCTCTAAATCCATGTGGATCTTCATTCAGGTTTTTTTTTTTTCGCTAAACCCACTAGGATATTAGAGGTGTATATATATACACAGATGAAGAATTGAGACACTTCTTCATCTAACCATTATGACGTCAACAACAACCAATCAGCAGCCACCTTACAATCCCTCAAGATATTCATGCTGCTAGAGCACTTTACCCTCTCTGTGATTGGCTATAATTCTAGATGTAAACAGAGTTTCTACCAATGAAATGCGAGTTTTTGAGTGACGTCAAGTGGGAGTTGTTCAGTTTAACAACCTTCTCTTATGACTTGCTGTTGAGCATCTTATGACTTCTTGTTGATTATCTTACTGACAAATTCTCTCACTAGATGACACTCCATAAAATATACACAAATTTAGGTAGATAGATAACTGGAGATATGTATTTATATAGACATATTTTTTACAAGTAGAGTTATAAAAGGCTAGGTAGCAAGCAAGATAGATATTAGTTGATAACTGGATACATGTAGATACATATAGACATTATTATTATAATCAGAAAGAAGCGCTAAACCATGTAATAGACATAATTAGCTACCTTGATAGATATAAAACAGGTGAAATAGACATGAATTAGTAAATACAAATTTAAAACTTATTTTCATAAAATGCTCACAAAAAAGTAATAATTAAACAACATTTATCAGTTAATACCAGATTTTTTTTCATATATATTTTTAATGCATCTAAATAAGACAAATGAGATATTTCAATCTTCCATCTATATGAAAAAATATTTACTTAGTGAATTAACTGAAAGGTAATAAAAATATTTAATTTGTGTATTTTTATGGAGTGCCATCTAGTGAGAGAATTTGTCACTAAGATAATCAACAAGAAGTCATAAGATGCTCAACAGCAAGTCATAAGAGAAGGTTGTTAAGCTGGACAACTCCCACGTGACGTCACTCAAAAACTCGCATTTCATTGGTAGAAACTCTGTTTACATCTAGAATTATAGCCAATCACAGAGAGGGTAAAGTGCTCTAGCAGCATGAGTATCTTGAGGGATTGTAAGGTGAATGCTGATTGGTTGTTCTTGACGTCATATTAGTTGGTCAACACAGTCACCTTCTCTTATGATCTGCTGTCCCCTCAAGGAAGGTTCCTTGATGTTGGTGAGGGGCTCTTGATTTAGGGAATTGGATCTATGCTCCAGTTCCCCGAATTAAGCCTGAATGCCTTCCAAATTCCCCCCCCCAGGCGCTGTATAATCCTCCGGGTTTAGCGCTTCCCCCTTGATTATAATAATAATAATACATCCCCACTGATTCCCCTCAAGGTTCCTTGATGCTGGTGAGGGGCTCTTACTCTAGGGAATTTTATGTGGTCTGGTTGCCTGAATACCTTCCATATCTACCCCACAGGCGCTGTATAATCCTATGGGTTTAGCGCTGACCTTGCATATGACATTTATATAGCTAGCTAGGCAGATAGATGTAATGATAATGAAAATTTTATGGAATGATCGGTAGACAGCTATAAATAGCTAGCTATCTACCGATCATTCCATAAATTTTTTTTATCATTACATAATCTGCCTAGCTAACTAGCTGTTTACAGTTATCTACATTGCTAGCTATTTATATATTCATTAATATAACGACACACAAGGTCATCAAGTAAATTTGTACATAAAGCAATAAAATATAAAATTGAAACTTTTCATTTATTTACGATTTTCATCAACAAATAATAATAATTGAGCAACATTTATCAGTTAATACTAGAACATTTTCATACATCTAAATAAGAAAACAAAGATT